TGGAGCACGGTGCAACACTAAACAACGCTTGAACGTGGTTGTGTATTAACAGCTGGTCCTTGTCGTACCGCTGACATAGCAAGTCCCAAGCGTTATTGTAATTTTCACTGGTAAAATCTATATTTTTAATAACTAAAGCCGCGCTGCCGCGTAAACAGGACCGAAGGTAATGAAATCTCATAATATCATCATTACATTTATTATTATGGATGAGGGAAATGTAGGTATCTTTGAATTCGAGCCAACCCTGAACGCTACCATCAAAATGTGGCAAATCAATTTTGGGCAATCGAACATTTGTGTGTACCCTACCTGAACCTTCTGAGTTGGTAGTTGCTGAAAGCAGGCTTCGCGCCAGTGCCACCGTAGGATGGTATTGGTCCTCGAACTCACACCGGGATTTAAAGTCGTCATCGGGTGCGTCCAACAACGTCTCGATCTCCGTCTGTAACTTGTCGAAGTCGTTGTATAAACACTGAATACGCTCATAACGTCCTTCCAACTCAAAACGTTGTAAGTCGGTCAAGCTAGAAAAACTACTAAGAGGTTTAATATAATTTCTGAAAATAGTAAGTTTGGCTTTAAGAGTCCAGTAAAAGCTTGCGCTACCTTATTGATGTCACAAATAAAAATATTAGGGCATTAAAAACTTTAAAGCAGCCAACTGAACATTGGGACACATTAATCATCTTTATGATCTCACAGAAACTAGACAGCAGCACAAGCCGATACTGGGAGGAGCATCGTAACAAACTTTCAGAGCCCCCTACTTTAAATCAATTAATTTTTTTTATTGAAAATCAAATTAACCTACTTGAAAAAATAGAAGAAAACAGGAAAATCAACCTTAAATCTAAAGAAACAAATAACAATAATTACAATAACAAATCTACAAATTACATCATACAATCTAATAGCAATCAAATTCAATCAAATCATTCGAAATGTTCATTATGTAATGAAAATCACTTGCTTTACACCTGTGAAACATTCAGGAGCTTACCTACTGAGGTGCGCATTGAAAAGGCAAAGAATTTAAAAGTTTGTATGAATTGCTTACGCTTAGGTCATACTGACAGAACGTGCAAGCTATCCCATTGCAAGTACTGCAAAGCACGACACAATACCCTTTTACATTCAGAGCTTGAGCGTAGCGCAGCGTCAAACCCCATGCCAGGCGCTGATAATGTTGCTTTTTCAGCCAATTTTGAACACAGTAATACAGCTTCTTTTATATTGCTTTCCACAGCTATGGTGAGAGTGCGTGGTGCCGATGGCACTAAGCACCCCGCCCGAGTTTTGCTGGACAACGGTAGTACCGCCAACTTTGTCACAGACGCCTTTTCATCCAAGCTTGGGCTGTCACGACACGGTACTAGCTCCACTACAATCACAGGTATAAACAATCAGACCTCTTATAGTACACAGTCTTGTAATCTCACGCTCGAGTCCTATTACGGTAACTATACAGTCGACTTAGGTTGTCTAATATTGCCTGAGGTAACAAAAGTATTGCCTTCGCGTTTCATACCTAGAACTCATGTCCCTCTGCCTTCGGGTCTACATCTAGCTGACCCTACATTCAACATTCCGTCAGTCGTAGACATACTTGTAGGGGCTGAAATCTTTTGGCAAGTATTATTACATAATACCATCGATTTAGGTAAGAATCAACCTACACTTCACGAAACGAAATTAGGTTGGATTGTTTCAGGTCTTGTGGCTTATTCTCCACGCCTTCAATCTCAATCTCACTTCTGTAGTCTTATCAAAAACGACGTCAATTTTAATATAGAACGTTTTTGGGAACTCGATTCAGTTCCATTAAAACACTCACTCACAAATGAAGAAAATGCATGTGAGCAACATTTTCTTCATAATACTTATAGAAACGACGATGGCCGCTTTGTAGTTTCTATTCCATTAAAAAGGGATCCTCAAATATTAGGAGACTCTCTTCAAATGGCTATAAGTCGATTTTTATCCTTAGAGCGACGCTTTCAGCGTGATTTGGGTTTCAAGCAGCGCTACGTAGACTTCATGCATGAATACCTAAAGCTAGGGCATATGACTAAGGAAAGTGAATTCGCAATTTTTCAGAGTCTTCTACTGACAAGGGAGTCAGTTATTTCATGCCTCATCATGGAATTATTCGTGAGTCCAGCACAACTACAAAGCTGCGAACGGTCTTCGATGCATCTGCGATCACAACTTCCGGCGTTTCACTGAACGACATCCAAATGATTGGTCCTGTAGTGCAAGACGACTTACTTTCCATATTGCTGCGCTTTCGTCAGCATAGATATGTAATCTCAGGGGACATTGAGAAAATGTATCGATCTATGGAGGTAAACCCCTGGCAGCGATCTCTTCAGCGCATTGTTTTCCGCGATAATCACAATGCTCCCCTCAAAGTATATTGTTTAAACACGGTGACTTATGGAACAGCATCAGCGCCTTACTTAGCCACGAAATGCCTGACCAGTCTGGCTTCGTCAGCTGTAAGTGAAGACGTCAAACATGCAATAATTCACGACTTTTACGTTGATGATCTTTTAAGCGGTAATAGCACCCTCTCAGGTACTATTGAGTTGTGTAAAGGCGTGATTGATACTTTGTCATCAGCTCAATTTCATTTACGTAAATTTAAATCAAATGATTCTCGTATCTTATCAGCAATAATGTCAGAACGTGGCGACGCTTCCACTGAAAATATGTTAGACTTAAATAGTGACGTCAACACTTCATCTAAAACATTAGGTTTGCAATGGTGTTGCAATGTTGATATGCTTTCTTTTTCCATTAATATTGACATCTGTAGTAAAATTACAAAGCGTCACGTGTTGTCGGTTGTAAGTCAAATTTTCTGGTAAGTCCGTGCGTTGTCGAAGCAAAAATTCTCATGCAACGACTTTGGATCGACAAGTACAACTGGGACGACGTAGTGTCTCAAGAACTTAGGGATCTTTGGTCTTCCTTTACTAGTACTTTATCTTCTCTTAATCAGCTGAAGATACCTAGATTTATTTCATGTAGTGACTCGACAAATAACGAAATTCATGTCTTTTACGACGCTTCAGAGAAGGTTTACGGTGCGTGTCTTTATATCCGTTCAATTAAAGCTTCAGGGTCTATTTGCGTACGACTTTTGGCTTCAAAAAGTCGCATAGCTCCTATTAAGCCCACCACAATACCGCGACTTGAGCTTTGCGGAGCGTTAGCAGCTACAAGACTGTGTACCAAAGTTCGTGACTCTCTAACCATGCGTATAGACAACGTTTATTTCTGGTGCGATTCCACAATTGTATTGGCGTGGTTGTCGACGTCGCCTAATCGACTTAAGCCTTTTGTGCGCAACAGAGTCAACGAAATTCAAGAGAGTACGATTGGTTGTACTTGGAGCTACGTGCCGTCGAAGGACAACCCGGCGGATCTTGTTTCCCGTGGGCTGAAGGCTGATGCTATCAGCACCAGTTCGCTGTGGTGGTCGGGCCCGTCTTATCTATTTAAATCACAAGAATATTGGCCACAAAAACCCAATATGAAACAAGATCTACCAGACGTAGTTTGTCATGTAGTTAGTAGTAATGTCGATACGCTTCATACTAATAAAACTCATGGTAGTTCCATAATTCATCATCTTATTACTAAATATTCAAATTTACGCTATTTACAAAGAGTAGTTGCTTACATACTTAGAGCGATATATAACTTTAAAAACAAATCAAATAAAAATATAGCTAATCTTTCTAATGAAGAACTACAAATCTCATTAAATCTCATTATACATAATGCTCAACTTCAAATGTTCCCCGAAGAATATTTTATATTGAAATCAGGGAAGTCCCTACCACGTAGCAGTCGTCTTATTTCATTAACACCATTTATAGATAGTAATTCAATTTTACGCGTTGGTGGTAGGCTTGACAACTCCCCATATGACTTTAATATAAAACACCCTATAGTTCTTTGCAGTAAACACGCTTTGACTAAATTAATATTCCATTTTGAACATTTGCATCTCTTACATGCTGGACCACAGCTCTTACTAACTCACATACGCCAGAGTTACTGGCCCTTAGGAGGCAGAAATCTGTCTAAGACTGTCGTCAGAAACTGCTTAAAATGTTTTAGGTATAGAGCAAAAAATGTTCAACCCATCATGGGTCAATTACCTAAAACTCGTACTGATTTACAATTTCCTTTCTTGAATTGTAGTGTGGATTATGCTAGGCCAATTTTGATCGCTGATCGTAAAGGGCGAGGCTGTAAATTAGTAAAATCATACATATGCATTTTTGTGTGCCTTGCAGTAAAAGCTGTTCATATCGAGCTCGTCACCGCATTGTCATCGGAGGCGTACATAGCTGCTCTCAAAAGATTCGTGTCTCGTCGAGGCAAGCCCCGCAGCATATGGTCCGACAATGGGACAAATTTTGTTGGTGCTTGCAACGAACTCAAAAGCGTCCTTTCAAACTCAGACATTGCGTCATTCATGTCTCAAGAAGGCATAGATTTTAATTTTTCTCCACCTTATTCCCCTCATTTTAATGGTC